CTTCTGACCAGACACTGAAGAGGATGCTCAGGAAAAGTAGCTTATTCAACTCAGCACTGAGGACTGACAGCTGTGATACGCCTGACATGATAATGAATTAAAAAGGCTTTATTACTGCAGCGCTCAGCGCCATTCAACTCATTACAGAGATGTTTACAGACCTTTGAAGATGACTGGAAAATCAGACGAAAAAAACAAACAAAACAAAACAAAACAAAACAAAACAAAACAAAACAAAACAAACAAACAAAACAAAACAAAACAAAACACAAAACAAAACAAAACAAAACAAAACATATAACTGGAAAAGGAAACAGCACTAAACAAAGTTACATGAAAAAATGAGGCCTTACAAGTTAATGACAACAAAATCAAAATGTGTCATCTCCTCGGAGCTCAGTGTTTATGTTTTAAATGTGTGAGGGAAGACAAGAGGAAGAAGACATAATAAACCAGAAACTGTACTGATCCCATGTTGTTGATGGGATTGTGAAAAAATAAGAGGCTGACAGACAGTTTCGGTATAATTAGCATAAAAATATGTACTGTACATAGTAGCTATGCACCTCCATGGCTGAAACTCACAGCCCAGGACATACTCTCATTGTTTCATCACGATTTGCAAATTCTATATTTTGCAGCTGGGAGTGGCATTGGTGTTTTTTTAGTCTGAAATCAGACATTTTAGAGAACACAGATGTATTTACTTTTCCAGCAATATGTAGAACATTAGATATTCAAAATCAGCGTATAGAATGAATGTGCAGGGCACAAGAGATACCCACGACATCCACAGTTCAATGGGGGCTGGGGACCTTTGTTGCATGTCACACTCCTTTCTCTACCCATGTTTCCTGTCTCTGTCTACACTGTCAACTGGCAAATAAAACTAAAGGCCAAAAAGAATTAAAAATATAAATAATAATGCAGGTCACAGCACAGCTCAGTATATATTCTATACATCATATAACCATCCATGGATTAACAGCTCCTCCAACCTCCCCCAACAACCATGCAGGTGGTTTTTTTCATCCCTCTGATATGACCCATAATAGTGTCTCTTGAAAAGTGCTCCTACAGCAACAGGCGTACCAGACCTCGGTTGTCATGGTTACCATAATAAACACCGGTGTTCTTACCTTTGTCACCATGGTTACTATGATAATGGTCATGACTCGGTTAGGTTTAGGAAAAGATGGCGATTTGGGTTAAAATAAGTTCTTACTCAACATTAGACAATCTTTGTTGTCATGGTTACAATAATAACAATGAACAGTCATGGATAATAGAAACAATATAAACAGCTGGTTTCACATGGGAATTGAACACCACTCTCCTGTATCATATTGTACAGGTACCAGACAAAGACATTCACATGTATTTATTATTTTCACTGTATGTTTTTATATATATATATATATATATAT